TGTCCCATGTTAACGTTTCTTAATAGAACCACAGATGACATTAAATAACTTTTATTTCAAGAGTGTGGAACCTTTCCATATCACAATAGGTTCTCAATAGTGGAGAAGAAAGTTCATTAGATTTGTAAAATGTTCTTCACACTAAGGGAAAAAAAAGAAAAGTTTTTAACCCTCACAGTGCATTCAAAATCTGTATACTATTCTTACATACCGGGTCTGTTTGGAACCAAAGAATTGTTGCTTCATTAAAACAGTACTTTTTCAACTGAAGTGACTGCGGAAAAAAATATAAAAGTTTTGAATGTTATTACCATGTTTTAATCCATTAACCTGCATTTACTTTTATGGTTCATCTGTGGAATTGTTGCCAAAACCCCTTTTGGAACCTTTGGTTTTGAAAATGTTCCATGGATGTTAAAGCTTCTCACACTAAGGATGCCATTAAATAACTTATTATTTTTTTTAAGAGTGTAGAATCTTTCCATAACAAAAAATTATTTTATAGTGGAAAAAGGTTCTTGTGATTATTAAAATGTTGACACACTAAGAAAAAAAAACAGTTCTTTTAACTGATCACTGAAAAGTTATAAAAACGTACATATGGAACTTATAGAAAGAAGCTTTATTTTAGAAGAGTAGTGTTGAGGATTTCTCATGATACAGCCAGTAATGCAGGGATTGAGCGGCTCTCTAGTGCTGAAGTGTGCTTGTGGATTGTTGTCAGGGAAGAGAAAATAACATCAAGGTGTCGGTTCATACTGGAGGTTCTCAGGGATAGCGATGCAGTTGTTGTATGTGAAGAATAATATGACAGTAATGTTCTTTAAACAAACAAAAAACACCCTCTTTTACCCTCTCAGATCTGTCTACGTCTCGCCCTCATCACACACTTACACCACAACCCATGACAGGCACATGATGTGCTCGGCTCTCAGACAGACATATTTCCTCGTACGGCGGTTTTAGGGCAACCTCTCGCCCTTCTGCTTGATTCGGCCCCAGTCGCCCTGACCCGTCCTATCCCGACACAGCTCCATAGCAAATCCAAACTGCAGTCAGACACTTAGCTAAAAAGAATCATGCCATGGATAACATGCCAGCAGTGTAATGTGTGCAAAGCTACAATCAGGGTCCAACATGAACATCTATCTAAACATATCTGTCTGTCTGTCTATCTATCTGTCTCTCTGTCTGTCTGTCCTCTTTTACCCTCTCAGATCTGTCTACGTCTCGCCCTCATCACACACTTACACCACAACCCATGACAGGCACATGATGTGCTCGGCTCTCAGACAGACATATTTCCTCGTACGGCGGTTTTAGGGCAACCTCTCGCCCTTCTGCTTGATTCGGCCCCAGTCGCCCTGACCCGTCCTATCCCGACACAGCTCCATAGCAAATCCAAACTGCAGTCAGACACTTAGCTAAAAAGAATCATGCCATGGATAACATGCCAGCAGTGTAATGTGTGCAAAGCTACAATCAGGGTCCAACATGAACATCTATCTAAACATATCTGTCTGTCTGTCTATCTATCTGTCTCTCTGTCTGTCTGTCTGTCTGTCAGTCAAAATATTATAATTTTTAAATAAATGTATTATCATTTATTAATTTAACATAACAATATAACATTATTTAAACATTTTTGTCAAATTAGCATAATAGTGTAAATCATATATAGTATAAATATAAAATAAATTAAATACAATTCTGAATAAATATTTGTATTTTTATGTAAGCTATATTTATAAATTAAAATACAAATATGCATTTTTTAATTTTTTAAATTTTAAAAATTAGTTGCATGCTGTATAAAAATGTTATATATGTCATATAAATGTTTACACATTTAAAAAATTGCTTAGCTCTCAGACAGACAGACACAGACACAGACAACAAAACATAAATCACCCACTAATAATCCTCTTCCGTTTATTTGTTTAGCTATTAATACAGTACACTTTTTTTTCCCATAGTAGTCTTATAGAAAGGGGGGAGGGGGGGGATTACAAAGAGGTTATGATATAATGAGGGGGGAACCTTGGGAGAAATTGAGACTCATTTTACAGTATTTCCACTTAGATGAATTGTTCAGGCATTAACGAGGAGACACAGGAGGTCGTTCTGTGCCGGCTGAGGTTCTCTTGTCCTTCAGGTATTTCTCAGGGCTCATAAAAAGCGCAGCGAGGATATTGCTAACTCTGCAAGTCATACTTCATTCACAGACAAAAAGACTTCAGCAGGAAATTTGACGTCCTGCCGTGCTGATCCTGTAACCTGCATCAAGTTATTTCTGCTTATCTGGCCTGTCTTTAGTCTTCCTTGTCCTTCACGGTGAAGGCCTGTGCTTGTAGAAATATCATCCCAGTGGTCCTCAGATTGTAAAATGTGTTTATTATACTTTATTGGATGACATCAAAGATGAAGGATTTAATCCAAAAATATTGTTGTCCTCAATCATACAAGTTTGAAATCTCGTTTGGCAATATTTATAAACTGCCATTCAAGATTTGTGTCTCTTCTGCTCATTAAGGCTGCATTTATTTGATGAAAAATATAATAAAAACAGTAATATTGTGAAATATTATTACAATTTAAAATAACTGGTTTCTATGTGCATAGATTATAAAATGTAATTTATTCCTCTGATGCAATGCTGAATTTTCAGCATCATTACTCCAGTCTTCAGCGTCACATGATCCTTCAGAAATCATTCTAATATGCTGATTTGTTGATCGAGAAACATTTCTGATGATCATCAGTGTTGAAAACAGTTCATTTTTTGATAAATAGATTTTTGAAAAATAGAAAGTTTAGAAGAACTGCATTTTTTTTTAATAATTATTTTTTTAATAATATAAAAGTCCTGATCAATTGAATAAATACCTTGCTGAATAAAATTATTAATTGGGATTTGTGATGTCACAAATATCGACGAATGGGACGAGACCTGGTTGAGCTGCACTAGAGAAGGCAACGAGTGTTATCACTATGTCGGAGACACGCTAGCTTTCCCAGGGCAGATGAACTTAGAGTGGTTACAATCATCAGAGTTTAAATCACACTCAAATTGATTTGATTTTGACGCCATATTTACACTGAAGCTCGCAGGCGGCTATGGTAAGGGGCATGACATTTCCCGACCAGGCGCCGAGTGCTGCCAATCACAGCACACACTGGCCCAGCTAACCAATCACAGCACACACTGGCCCAGCTAACTAATCACAGCACATTTTGTATTTCAGAAGGCGGCCCTTCATCTGATACAGGAACTATTCGAGCCGTTCATGCCAGACTGAGGAGAGAGGTGTTGTAATAATGTAAAATATGTGAAAAATTATGTGTTTTTCGAACAACCTAGTATGAGAGCCTGTTCTAGTACACCCCCAAAACAAAATCAAGAGTTTGTAAAAGAGCATGACCTCAAACCTTTCAACAGTAGTTTGTATTACTTCATAATTTCACCAAAAATAAATAAATGAATAGAATAAAATAGTTTTTCTTTTTTCTTTTTACAGAAGTTTTTTTTTTTTTTTACAGTACATAGTTTTTCAGAGATTTTTTTGAGTATCATTTATAAAACTTTGCATTAAAATTTGTTAATGTGTGTATATTCACAAAATATATTTCTTATGATGTACCCTCATTTTTTCCCCCCAAGAAACCGCAAACAGAATTAAAACCGATGGAAGAAAGGCCATTAAAACTACAATAACTATGAGTCATTTCCAGCATAACGAGTTATTGTTGTTTATACATCACATATGAATTAGCGCTGAGTGTTTGGTGAATGTGCACAAAGATGATTTTGGGCATCATAAACAGTGATAATAGGGAATAATAAAAAGACAGATGATCTTTCAATGGACTCTTTAAATGCAGAGATATGGCGAGCGCTTCAAGGCATCATTGTACCCATGTATCTTCAAGCTCTCTGCGTCTTATCCACTTTTTTTATTTCTTTCTCTCTCTGGACTGAGGAAGCTCTTTAGATCTCGTTGCACACAGATAAAAAAGCATTTCATATTGGGTTCGCCTGCAGGAAGAGCCTTTCCCTGCTCCGCTGCTTTCAAAGGGCCTGGGACTCGTTTCTGTGGTGTGGGCTTTTACACACTCAAAGCACTAACTAGAGAGAATATTGCAAGAATGCCTCTAGTTTATACTGTTCAAAAGTTTGGGCCTTTTTTACTGTTTTTGAAAGACGTTTCTTCTGCTCACCAATCATTTATTTGATCAAAAATACAGTAAAAGCAGTAAAAATGTGAAATATTTTTACAAATTAAAATAACAGTTTGCTATGTGAATATATGTTAAGATGTAACTTATTCCTGTGATCAAAGCTGAATTTTCAGCATCATTATACATATATATATATATATATATATATATATATATATATATATAAGATTTAGCGATCTTTTTCCAAAAAGCGCCAAGTGACAAATCTAGCAGCTTCTTCCATAAACCTTATTTAGTTTCTGAGACTCACCGGTATTGCCGCACGAGTGTGATCTCTCCGCGTCTGCTCTGTTCAGTGAGTAATCACAAGTTAACTCACAACAATCATGCGATTAATTGCAATAAAATATTTTAATCGATTGACTGCCCTAATCATATCTTATCATATATCATATCATATCATCAATTATATTATATAAAATTTTAGAGGGCCCAATTTTTTTTTTTTTTTGGCACTTATCAATTTAATGCATCTTTGCTGAATAGGAGTATTATTTTTTTTTTAAAACAAACCCCCAAATTTTTAAATGTAGTGTATATTGAATAGTTTGAAAGGAAAAACCTGTATAGCATGTGAACATTTCTGTTTTATTCATTTCTAAGCATTGCAAGTCAACAACAAATTGAACAGGACTGTTTCTAAATGTCCCTAAGCTTATTGTGAATGATTCATGATGTCATTCCAAACAAAAACATATTTTGAACATCATAACTTTGCTTTAAAATGTCTCTCATTTATTTTTTTTCCATCTGTCTTCCAGAAACCGTGGAATCCCTGGTGCGTCAGGCGGAGAATCACACTCACGCTGTCCTCCTGCACACGTACCGTGATCTGGCCAGTCCAGCGGCGGCTCCCGTCGGGGAGTTTTTCACAGACGTGGGTCTCTTCGTCTTGGGCTCCGAGCTCAGTCTAGAGGAAGCTTCGCAACGCTTCTTTGACGCCCTTTTCCCCCTTGTTTACGAGCGGCTGGTGGAGCCGGATCTGTCACGCTTGTCTCTGCCGTACACAGAGTGCGTCCGTGCCTCCTGTCGGGATCTGGGGCCGTACGGCGGAGCCCCGGGTCGCCTTGCCGCGCTCATCTCCCGCGCCTCGCTGCCCGGCCGGGTGTTCCTCCAGGCGCTACACTTGGGCGTGGAGGTCATCAACACGACCGACCACATTCAGCTCAGCCGCGAGTGCAGACGCGGCCTGCTGAGGATGAGCTACTGCCCGCACTGCCAGGGTCTGACCGCCAGCAAGCCCTGCATGGGCTACTGCCTCAACGTGGTGCGAGGCTGTCTCGCCAGCCTGGCCGAAGTGGACGCCCACTGGAGGGAGTTTGTGCGCTCGTTAGAGACGCTCTCCACCCGCATGCACGGGGCGCAGGATCTGGAGCAAGTACTTCTGGAAGTTCCCGGGCTGGTGAGGGACGCCGTGGCCCACGCGCAGAGGAACGCACCGCGACTTTCTTCACAGGTACGTGGGATATTTGACAATTAGAACATTTTGAAATTAGGTAGGCAAACTTTCTGTGATGCTAAGGTTAATTTCAAAGCTATCATGTTAGGTATTTTAAGTAAAAAGTATTTATTTAATAGTAAATATGGTAATTAAATTTTATTGTAAATAACTTTACAAAAAATAAACCTTTAAATTATAGTTTTAAATGTGTGGCACTCAATATATTTAATGAAGGTTTTTTTTTTTTTTTCATAAGTTAAAAGTTTCTGGGACGAGAGTAATTAATACAATCTACACATAAAATGTATACAATTATTAATTATTTTTAATTGGGGTTATATCATATATTAAGATCTCCAGAAAAAAAATCCTGTTTATGTTGTAATCTATTTTGGCTGGAATAAAACAATGCATAGGCCAATTACATACTAATTTCTGTTTTTCACAAAGTGTATAATATTCTGACATGACTTGATGGCAGCATTTGATATGTGAGATTTTGAATTTATTTTAGTTTTAAAATCCTGAAGGCTAAACGTTCGTTTACTTTTGTCACGTCGAAAAACCTTACATTCACAAATAGGTGAACATTTTTATTTCAAACCCAAACACTGGCCTTTGCATTTTTGCAATTTTCATGCCTTGAGAATTCGGTCTTAAAGCTGTGGTGTAACTACTGTTTGGATGGTGTGGAATGCAGTACGGCCTGAACATGAGTTGCTCGCAGTCACACATGCCATGCTGCAGCCAGAGAGCCCAGGACATTCCCAAAATACTCTCCGTGTGGGCAGCTGCAGCGGGACGGCCGGCCACGCTCATGTGTGCTGGACGCCTGCAGTCATACTGGGCTTCTGTGGGATCCTGTACGCATGTTCAGATAGTGTTGTGGTGGTGCTGTTGAAATGTGAAGGTTTGCAGAAGGGAGCGTCTGTGTGTGTGTGTGTGTGCAGAAACAGGCCTTCAAACCGCATGGGTTTGTCAGCGATCGAGTGACACTTGATCTGTGGGGGTCTGGAGTGGATCAGAATCTGGATCAGAATCAAGTCTCTAATAAGGTGTTGTCACTGGCTGAGGGTCACGGCTAGTGTAAGAACAATAAAAACAGTTTGTATGACCTGTGTAAATTAAGTCCAAATTATCCCAATTGTGGAGGAATGATGATCTTCATAAAACTCAAGAAGTGTCTAGAATGTCTGGCATCTTTGTGTATATATATGTAGGGGTGTAACGATACACGTATTCATATTGAACCATTCGGTACGAGGGTTTCGGTTTGGTACGTACCAAACGATTAGATTCGTTGGACTAATCCTATTATATTTGGAAAATAAAAGAGCTTAAAGTGTGTGAAATATAATGTTCTCAGTGCAACTGTGCTCAACAAGGCAGCACAAACGACGCAACAGGCAACATGATGTCTGCCCTCTTCAGAGGCGGACAAAGTACTCAACTCCATTACTTTAGTGAAAGTACAGATACTGCTGGTCAAATATTACTCCATTACAAGTAAAAGTTGTAAAGACAGATTTTTACTTAAGTAAAAGTACAGAAGTACTTGCTTTTAAAAGTACTTAAGTACCAAAAGTAAATTTCCTTTTTTATGTCAATGCACTGTTTTATTGTTGTACGTAATACTTGCAATACTTCTGAAGCAACTTACAATACATTACACCTACTGAATACACTGACTAGCTTGTAGTATATTTGGAATAAAGAGCTTTTAGAATGTTAAAAACCTATGGGGAAAAAACAACAACAACAGAAAAATTATTATTTAACACCCCTACCCACCCCCACAAAAGCAGGATGGTAGTGATCTCACACAGCTCT